ACAACAGCCTGTTTGCGGCACAAAGATATTCTGGGTTACTTCTCTAACTCGATTCGACCGCAATGTAGCTCCGCGAATTTCCCGTAAAAGTGAAGCTAACCAGCGCAATCTCGCAATTGTTTTCGCCAACTCGTGGCGGAGATACGGAAGCGACCGTCTCCAAATCGGCGATAAACAGGTATATCGTTCGTTGCCGCGAGTAAAAGTTTAATTTATCTGTGGATATCTTTCACGTGCCGAACGGCGCTGGGATACGCAACTGAATTGGATCGTTTGTTTCACCGGGGATCGTCGGAATATTGCAAATAGATATCAGACCGTTCCCATCTCGAGAGAGAACAATCGCGGCTCCTTGGAATTAATGCGATCCCGTTGTAGTCTGACAGTCCTGAGCTTCCTGATGAAGTTGGAACGTTTATCTTGGAAGGCGGCGAGTCTATTCGAGCCTGTCTCTTAAAAGGACGCCTGAGACGAAATTTCTTGAGACGCGGTTACACTTCTTAATTAAGATGTGTCAGAACGATACCAAACTTCGTGTTATCCGGCAAATTATTTCAGTCGCGTGTTCAGCGAAGCGATATCGCTTAAACGGGATCTTCATCGCGCGGCGTTAAGGGAAAGGGGTGTTTCAGAGTTTCGCTTAATTCGAGTATTATTTAACGAACACTGCCGTTGGCAGTGATTTAACGGCGCAATATTTTTCTTCGGGCGGACAGATAATACGTTCAAATGTGACAGAGCGCTCATACAAACGTTCATTCTTCATTAATCTGTCATTCGTTACGTGAAATAATTCTACAAATCGTATTCACAAATACTATAACGTTAATTTACGTTAATTCGGCCTCGAAATTAATTCCGCGATTTCCCCCGATATTAATTAGAAATTAATGCCGAGTGTATCATACGTTTGGACGAGAGAAGCTGCTGTAGCGCGCTTATAATCCAGCTACTACGATTCACACACCCGCCGCGCGGTTAATTCGCTGACATATTACCGCCACGCCGTGATATATTATTTATTGTGCCGAGCGCGCAATTTTGATGAGGTTTTGCGAATTACAGTAGCCGACAGTCTGTTACATTCGGCTAAAGCCACGTGTGACCGCTAATTGAGCGCCCTTGGTAACCCTACGTCAATTTTGTCGTATCCGCCGGTCGCATTTCGGTCGAAGATAGCCCGACGGCAAACCCTGTACGCATTATACATTGCGTGGCGTAGCTAATGTAGCTTAGAATAGGCGCGTCCATCAAAGCGCGAGCCGCTACCCAAACTAATCTTATAAGATGAGAGGCGCTCCGTCGGATATCTCGAGCACCATTATGGCGCTGCAAATGTAACATCCCGGAAATTCCCTGCCTCGGTATCGCGCGGGGCTCGTTTGTACAATAAAATCGAATAGCCTTGCTAATGACAGACGCGATATCTCGCGATGAATAACGACGGCTTTCCAGCGAGGCGAGAACGCGAGGGAACGGAATTTTCATTTTTGCTAAATAATATCGGCGAGGGACACGTCCTCCGCCAAAAATTGGAGGTGCACGTTAAACTAAAAGGTATTTCTAGCGGCTGAGCTCAGATCTGCAAAATCTCGGTCTGAGCAATGTGTAGCTAATAAAATTGCTGCTTTTTCGTAAAAGTTGCAAATTGATTGGCTATAAATTTCTCGGACAGAGTAGAACTTGGAATTAAAACTGTCGATAAGTGACGTTTCTAATTCCGTCTCCTCTCTTATCGGCACTGATCGAGTTCGCCAGCGGCTTAAGGATCTCCTCAAGAGTGTACGCGGCGCGAATACCTTGGTCGCGCCCCTCAAACGTGACCGTCTTTGGCTACCTACGTGTCGGATTTCTTTGCGACAGCTGCTAATTAGAATCTGTGTCGCGAGTTTCGGGCGCACCGAAGCGCGGCTGACGTGAAGAGGAGAAGACGCCCGGGTGCATCTCGACGATACGAGTATCGCACGCGGAGTCGAGGGCCATCGTCGTCTCTCGCCTCACTTACCGCCGCTCGCCCTCGCTGTCACTCGAGCGAGCACGGGCCTGAGATTGTATGCAGCGGCTGTGTAACTAGCAATTGAAAAGCAATATTGTTCTCCTGTTAATTACTCCATCGCTGCGTACTGATGTAGCTCTCGTCCGAATTGTTTAGCCCGAAGCTCAGTTTTCTGTCCGTTTCATGCGATCGCGTCAATTATTTTGCGTAAATTGCGAGTGCAATAACGTTTATATAAATATACTTGTAACAAGTGGTGGCTAACGGCATGGATTAACGTGTGTTGCCAGAGCAAGCGGCAGGTTGCGTTCCGTCGTGTAATAAATGTAAATTTGCGCTATGCTAATTCTCGGTAATATTCGGTTATTGTATAGTGAATCGCGGTAATCTTGGAATAATGTAGTGCTAAGTGAGGAGCGATAACGTAATCTGTCAGTGCTTCGTACGAGAGGCCCGCGCGAATATTGATTTCAGGCGAAAGAGTCGACGACCTAAGTTGCACGAAATGGAAACGATCGAGGGCCGACGAGAAAAATCAATGACCTTTAAATCCATCGGCGCGATAAAATGCCCCTCGCTCACGAAACATCGCCGTCAGATATATGAGGAAATTTGCTTTGCAAATTTTCCGGATTTTACCGACGGTCGCGAATTTTTATTCCGCTGCCCTTAGAGCCCGTCCCGTCCGCGTTGCGAGGCTCCGCTTCGCTTTAATCTCGCCGCCGTGATATGAGCTTTCAGTTTACCTACTTTTTGTGTGATCTGTGGATTGCAGGCGCGGGAGAATGAAGAGTCAGCTTCGCGCACAAAGCTCGCGTGCATATTCATTATTAGCCCGGGTGTCGACAAATTAGCGTTTCCGACGTTCTCGAGCGCTTATCAACGAACGCGCAGCGCACCGAAAAATCCAAACGGGAGGATATAAATGTGGGCTCTTTATCTGCGCGATTTGTCAGCGAGAAAATTATAGCACAACTCCCAAAGTCGCAGGTACAATTAAGCGGCTCACTGGTCTTGTTCCATTAACTGCGGGAAAAGGATGGAGCCCCCAGAAAGAGTTGTAAAAATGTACGGCGAATTAGACAGCCTCGTGGAAGTCGCATAAAAGATGCAGTGCTTAATTACAGCGAAACATTAAACGTTACAGTAATGCCGTTTGTTTTCGGCCATTTCGCCGTCTCGAACCCTCGCTTGCGATTTGAGTACAAAGAACGCGTGAAAACAGTAAGCGTATACACGGTACGCGCGCATCTTTTGTTGCAAGTTTTTCTCTCGTTTAAGTCTTCACTTGCGCCGTGTTTTATATACCGTTTCATAACTTATTAACAATTTTTACACTCTTAAGTTTTACACCATTGACTGCGCAATTCTCTGTACATACCCGAGTCGAAATTTTGGTACTATTTTGACACTTTTAAGGATAACTGACACCTACATAGACCAGCGATAACCTACTTTGATGACATTATATTTTTTTACTCCTCCCTTGAATCTTTAATGCTAAATTGGCAAAAGTCAAAATTTCCGACACTACCAGTTTTAAAGTAGGAGTAAATTCTGTACTTGCAGTTCGACCTCTTTTACTGTCTTAGGTTCTACTGTGTAATAGAATTAAAGGTTCGACGTAGGGCCAAAATTTCGACTCGGGTATCTAACTTGCGAATCCACCATTGTAACTATCTCTTCTTAATACTGAAGATGATCCAATAAGGACCGAAACGTATACATGCACTTATAATTAAGTAATTTTATTGGACACTACAACCTTGTTCAGGCTCTGAGCCCCTTCTTTTCTTACTTGATTTTATCATACGAGCCATTGTTATTTATTTTCTCTCATTTATTTTACCGCCGTTTACTACTTCTCGCGGACCGAGATGATCTCTAGCTTATCTAATAGCGAATTGGGTTGCTTGCGCACTGAGTGCACGTTAAAACTTGTTTATAGTCGATTCTTATATTTAAGGTTGTCTTAAATACATGTTCAAAACTGTCTAACCGAAAAAATAATCCTTATAATCGTACGAATGCTATAGCGATCATTTTACTGACTAAGAAGTCTTTCAAAAGATATTCAAGATACTCCTTAAATAGATCCTTAAGTAAAAAGTGACTGTAAACAGGTCTTGTTGTTAGTGCGAACTCAGTGCGCACCGGTGCAAGCAATCGAATTCACTGTTTCCTGAAAGGGCGTAAACGGAAAGCGGTGGCGAGTGAATTTCGGAATTTCTTTTATCATCGTCCGCGCCACCCGTTTCTTCGTTCCGATTGACAGCGGCTCGCGTCGAACACGTTTCCGGATGGGAGAGAATGTTGCGAGGACCCCTCGCCGCCGAGACACGGAGAGCGCGAAGCAGCGACGGCGACGGTAATTTATTAACGTCTCGCGGAATAACGTTGCTCCTTAGCGCAAATGGCTTCCGAGCGCGAAGAAGAAACATATATGCGCAACGCTCGTCCGCAAGTCTAAATAGTGGATTAGAGGAGAGGACGTTTCATTTATCAAGCCGCTCGAGCCGCGAGATATCCCGTTGCCATAATTCGCTGTAAGCGCGGCCACGATCCACGTGTACATTCGTATTTCCTGATGCGCGAGATATCGCGTCGCGGGGGATTATTAAGGAGACGCGTCTTATTTAAATTTCGCGTAAAGAAAGTGAAATCGACGATTCATATACGTTTTCTTGACACTACGCAACGACCGTTATGACATCATGTGTCATCTCGTGGAAAAGAGCCAAGGAGAACTGCATTGCTGCTTGTGGAACAACCGCATCTATTAATTCCCGAAGGCCGCGCGCTAACGAAGAAGAAAGTGTTGCGTGCCTGGATCGCGAAATTTCTCAATATCCCGTTGCATTGTGTTGCGTCACGGGAAAAAAGCCGCGGGACATTGCGCGGTGACGCGAATGCGATGCGAAGTGTTTAAAGTGCGTTTAAAGTAGCAAATGCGATGTGGCCAAAGTACAATAGTAACCGTTGGATCTCGTTCTCTCTGTTGCAGAAGGTGGACCCCGAGCTGATATTTACAAAACAGGAACGAATCGGGAAGGGTAGCTTCGGCGAGGTTTTCAAGGGCATCGACAACAGGACCCAGCAGGTTGTTGCCATCAAGATCATCGATCTTGAAGAGGCGGAAGATGAGATCGAGGACATACAGCAGGAGATTATGGTGCTGTCGCAGTGTGACAGCCCGTACGTCACCAAGTATTATGGATCTTATCTCAAGGTGAGTCGAAAAGTACCCTCTTGCTCGGCGTCTCAAAAAAGCACTCAATTATTACGGTCGTTAAATTATATCTGCCGGCGGTACAAAATACTGGCCGGACACTCCTCTTTTTATCACTGTTCCTTTCCGATGAATGCGCCGCCGTGTAATCGCATAGGTACAAAAATAAAAGTGCCCGCTATCGAGGGCACTTGGCTGTTACGCCCCATCATTTTTCATACGGCAAAGAATAGGAAGGGCTTGACGGTCGGTTAACTATCGCTTCCGGCTCGGCTGTGTCGCGTCGTCCGTCGCTTCCGCTTCCTGCGAAAGGTTCAACGAGCACAATCGGGAATACCGCAAATCCCTGCGATTCTACATCGTAATAATAGGAACGCTCTTTATTTTTAGATATTTTAATGACGTGCTCTCATAATTTATGCGTTTATTGATTTATAATGTAATATATTGATCAGAATTAATAGAATTATCGAGTATCTCCGTTTAAAAGACGTACATATTTTGCATGTTGTTTTCGAAGAGGCATACAACACACGCGAGAAAAAATATCCGCGTACTTAATTTATTAATTTTCACTGAAATAATCGAGAAATTGATAAGATTAGAAATCGCCCGAGTCGAAATTTTGGTACTATTTTGACACTTTTAAGGATAATTGACACCTACATAGACCAGCGATAACTTTGATGACATTATATTATATTTTTACTCTTCCCTTGAATCTTTAATTCTAAAAATTTACTTTAGCCCCTACTTAAAGGACTTTAATGCTCAAATTGGCAAAAGTAGAAATTTCCGACGCTATCAGTTTTAAAGAGGAGTAAATTTTATACTTACAGTTCGACCTCTTTTACTGTCTTAGGTCCTACTGTATAATAGAATTCAAAATTTCGACCAAAATTTCGACTCGGGCGTTTAGAAAAGAAATATTTTTAAAAAGCCACGATCCTCCAAGAGAAAAACACTTGCGCGCTTCGTACGCGATTTTGCGCCGTTCTATCGCGCGCGCCGGGAAAATCATGTCGATCAACGGGATCGAGATCCGAGCGCTTCGCGAAAAGGTCGCGGGCGGTCGTTCGTTTGCATAAGTCTCGTGTTCCGCTGGCGAACCCGGTGAACCACGGCGAGGAGGTTTTACGTGATCGTCGACACGCTTTCGATGCCGGTTGAGAGGAGACGCGTTTTCTCGGTCGTATCGTTTTGTTGCATTACCGACAAGCCGGAGCTATTTGCGACAAGGAGGCGAGACAAGAGGAGCAAATGTCGTCCGCATTCTCAAGCGAATGCCAGAATCTTGGGCGACTTAGACGGAGTCAAATTTTTCACCCCGTCGCACCGCTCGTTGCCGGCGGGATAGTTTAATAATGCGCGGAAAGTTTCTGATCGTTTCACGTGAATCTCCCCTTATGAATTTTACAGACAATTTCATGTGTTACCCCCGTTCTCTCTCTCTCTCCCTGTTCCTACAAAATTCGCGAATTTTTCCTGATCGCGAGGAAGAGCCGTTATACTTATTTATTGGAGCGCCATGTGGGAATAATGTAAATTACATTTAGGGAATCTACCTTTCTCTCAGACGCTCGCGCTTATAATATGTCTTAATAATTGTCAATTATGCCGCTACTTTCCCATATTATCTCGTAACAGCGACAAGCAATTATGCGGTCCAAGATGTCGCGGTGGCGACGAATAAATCATAAACTTGGCGGCCCCGTTCAACAGAGTGGTACAAAGTGAATCCACGCGATCGTTATCGAGGATTGTTGAGGGACCGTTAATTGCAGGAAAAGGGGAGGATTGTGCAGGCCGTTTCTCCGCGAGAGAGAGAGAGGAGAGAGAGAGAGAGAGAGAGAGAGAGAGAGAGAAGAGAGAGAGAGAGAGAGAGA